CCACAATGCCCTGCTCGCTGCTGATCTCGCAAAGGACCCTGGCCCCTAAGCGAGTGCGGGGCCTGTAGCGTGATGTTATAAAGGGGCCCTAATAAATAAAAACACTTAAATATTAAACACACACAGAAATGTGTCACTTGCATAGTAGAGTGATTGTATTGTTTAATTTTCTATACAGCCAGATAATACAACACATCTCTAACCTTAAACACCCAGTCGTTCGTAAAAGTTGAAGGCGGTATAGTACTATAGTCATAGAGCAAGTGCAGAATCACTGAACCGGAATTGATAGCTTGAAAGCATTTAGCGCGGGGCCCTTCAAAGTGTAGCTACATATGTAGTATCTACAACATGTGTAGTAGCTACTACATATATGTAGTACAACATATATGTAGCTACTCTTGCTACGAGGAGTATCCGCCACTGGACACTCATCATCACCGCGCGGCGCTTTCAGATGCGCGACTTCTGCGGCCGTCTGGAACGCCTCTGGCTTCCGTCGTTAGGAAGAAGCCGCTGGAGCTGTCCACTTTCAAATCATCGTCGTCTCGACTAACACACGCATTGCTCGACTAACACACGCATCGTCTCGACTAACACACGCATCGTCTCGACTAACACACGCATCGTCTCGACTAACACACGCATCGTCTCGACTAACACACGCATCGCTCGACTAACACACGCATCGTCTCGACTAACACACAAATCGTCTCGACTAACACACGCATCGTCTCGACTAACACACGCATTGCTCTAGAAGAGCTCGTTGTTGCTTAGTTTGTTGTCCTGGGCCCTGCACCTCCGACAAGCGTGGTTGGCTACGTACGGCGCGAAAGAAGTCCCGCGGACTGTGCACACGTCACGCGAGTTTAAGGCACAGTCGACCTAGGGGAGGCCCAGGACCGGTTCACGTTTCCGTCGCTCGTGGCCCTGACTCGAACTCGGGTCGCCGAGGTTTGCGGCGCAGAACCTTTCCGCCGTTCCGACTGACGCATGAATACACAAAGACAAAGATCCCCCGGGTAGCCTCTAACATGCTGTTGGGCAAGTGCTGATAGCGAGTAGCACCTATGAAGGCCGGCATGGCACACGAGGGGGTGGATGGCCAACACCACCCCCGGCCGCCTTTGTCTCCCCAGTGGTGATGTGTACACATCGTATTGGGTACTTATTTGAGGCCGAGCCGACCTAGAGGACATCCACATATGCACACACGTATACGTACGCGTGCAACTGGGACGTGTTGAACAATCATCAGGCAAGTGCGGTGTGTGATGGTGCAATCTGCATTCGGGTCGTGACGACTGCAGTCTTTGGAAACTCTGTGGTGTAAGTAAGTCGACTCTACTCTAGAGACATTAGTTACTCTACTCTAGAGATATTAGTTACTCTACTCTAGAGGTGTAAGTTAGTCTCTTCTACTATCGGTGTCTTTGTGTATACATGCGTGTGTGTATACGTGCGTGTATACGTGTGTGTACGTGTGTGTATACGTGTGTGTCTATTTGTGTGTATTTGTGTGTGTGTGTGTATTTGTGTGTGTGTGTATTTGTGTGTGTATTTGTGTGTGTGTGTATACGTGTGTGTGTGTATACGTGTGTGTGAGTTCTTACAGTGGCGTAAGCTACCTCGTTTAATTTTAAATCAGGTAACTGGACACCCGGTCTGGAGCGGGGGGGGGGGGAAGTGGGGGGGGGGGGACGTCCCCCCCTCCCCTCTCCGCACCGCGATGGACCCGGAGGGAGGGTGAGGGTTCATGGTGGTGAGTGTTTGGTGATAATGGATCAGGGTGAGGGTTCATGGCGGTGAGTGTTTGGTGATAATGGATCAGGGTGAGGGTTCATGGTGGTGAGTGTTTGGTGATAATGGATCAGGGTGAGGGTTCATGGTGGTGAGTGTTTGGTGATAATGGATCAGGGTGAGGGTTCATGGTGGTGAGTGTTTGGTGATAATGGATCAGGGTGAGGGTTCATGGTGGTGAGTGTTTGGTGATAATGGATCAGAGTGAGGGTTCATGGTGGTGAGTGTTTGGTGATAATGGATCAGAGTGAGGGTTCATGGTGGTGAGTGTTTGGTGATAATGGATCAGAGTGAGGGTTCATGGTGGTGAGTGTTTGGTGATAATGGATCAGAGTGAGGGTTCATGGTGGTGAGTGTTTGGTGATAATGGATCAGAGTGAGGGTTCATGGTGGTGAGTGTTTGGTGATAATGGATCAAGGTGAGGGTTCATGGTGGTGAGTGTTTGGTGATAATGGATGTGGGTGAGGGTTCATGGTGGTGAGTGTTTGGTGATAATGGATCAGGATGAGGGTTCATGGTGGTGAGTGTTTGGTGATAATGGATCAAGGTGAGGGTTCATGGTGGTGAGTGTTTGGTGATAATGGATGTGGGTGAGGGTTCATGGTGGTGAGTGTTTGGTGATAATGGATCAGAGTGAGGGTCATGGTGGTGAGTGTTTGGTGATAATGGATCAGAGTGAGGGTTCATGGTGGTGAGTGTTTGGTGATAATGGATCAGGGTGAGGGTTCATGGTGGTGAGTGTTTGGTGATAATGGATCAGAGTGAGGGTTCATGGTGGTGAGTGTTTGGTGATAATGGATCAGAGTGAGGGTTCATGGTGGTGAGTGTTTGGTGATAATGGATCAGAGTGAGGGTTCATGGTGGTGAGTGTTTGGTGATAATGGATCAGAGTGAGGGTTCATGGTGGTGAGTGTTTGGTGATAATGGATCAAGGTGAGGGTTCATGGTGGTGAGTGTTTGGTGATAATGGATGTGGGTGAGGGTTCATGGTGGTGAGTGTTTGGTAATAATGGATCAGGATGAGGGTTCATGGTGGTGAGTGTTTGGTGATAATGGATGTGGGTGAGGGTTCATGGTGGTGAGTGTTTGGTGATAATGGATCAGAGTGAGGGTTCATGGTGGTGAGTGTTTGGTGATAATGGATCAGGGTGAGGGTTCATGGTGGTGAGTGTTTGGTGATAATGGATCAGAGTGAGGGTTCATGGTGGTGAGTGTTTGGTGATAATGGATGTGGGTGAGGGTTCATGGTGGTGAGTGTTTGGTGATAATGGATCAGAGTGAGGGTTCATGGTGGTGAGTGTTTAGTGATAATGGATCAAGGTGAGGGTTCATGGTGGTGAGTGTTTGGTGATAATGGATCAGGGTGAGGGTTCATGGTGGTGAGTGTTTGGTGATAATGGATCAGGGTGAGGGTTCATGGTGGTGAGTGTTTGGTGATAATGGATCAAGGTGAGGGTTCATGGTGGTGAGTGTTTGGTGATAATGGATCAGGGTGAGGGTTCATGGTGGTGAGTGTTTGGTGATAATGGATCAAGGTGAGGGTTCATGGTGGTGAGTGTTTGGTGATAGTGAACGTCACGTGGGTCATCAGCGCCGTGATCTCGGCAGTGAACTTGATGGACCACGGCGCTGTCCGGGTCAAGGGAGTGTCGCAGTGCGTGCGCCCCTCCCCCATGGAGACCCGTAGACTCGGATAGAGACCCACAGACTCACACAGAGGCCCATATACTTACACAGAGACCCGTAGACTCGCAAAGACACACGTAGACTCGCATGGAGACCTGTAGACTCAGATAGAGACCCATGGTCTCAGAGTCCCATATACTCACAGAGACCCACAGACTCACACAGAGACCCATAGACTTCGAGACCCATATACTCAGAGACCCATAGACTTCGAGACCCATATACTCAGAGCCTCATAGACTCAGAGCCTCATAGACTCAGAGCCTCATAGACTCAGAGGCCCATAGACTTAGAGCCTCATCGACTCTGAGGCCCATAGACTCAGAGCCTCATAGACTCAGAGGCCCATAGACTCAGAGCCAACATAGACTCAGAGGCCCATAGACTCAGAGGTCCACAGACTCAGAACCTCATAGATTCAGAGGCCCATAGACTCAGAGCCTCATAGACTCAGAGCCTCATAGACTCAGAGACCCATAGACTCAGAACCTCATAGACTCAGAGACCCATAGACTCAGAGCCTCATAAACTCAGAGGCCCATAGACTCAGAGCCTCATAGACTCAGAGGCCCATAGACTCAGAGACCCATAGACTCAGAGACTCATAGACTCAGAGGCCCATAGACTCAGAGACCCATAGACTCAGAGGCCCATAGACTCAGAGCCTCATAGACTCAGAGACCCATAGACTCAGAGACCCATAGACTAACACAGAGGCCTCATAGACTCAGAGACCCATAGACTAACACAGAGGCCTCATAGACTCAGAGACCCATAGACTAACAGAGGCCCATAGACTCAGAGACCCATAGACTCAGAGACCCATAGACTCAGAGGCCTCAGACTCAGAGACCCATAGACTCAGAGACCCATAGACTCAGAGCCTGATAGACTCAGAGCCTCATAGACTCAGAGGGCCATAGACTCAGAGACCCATAGACTCAGAGACCCATAGACTCAGAGACCCATAGACTCAGAGACCCATAGACTCAGAGCCTCATAGACTCAGAGACCCATAGACTCAGAGCCTCATAGACTCAGAGCCTCATAGACTCAGAGCCTCATAGACTCAGAGGCCCATAGACTCAGAGACCCATAGACTCAGAGACCCATAGACTCAGAGCCTCATAGACTCAGAAACCCATAGACTCAGAGACCCATAGACTCAGAGCCTCATAGACTCAGAGACCCATAGACTCAGAGGCCCATAGACTCAGAGACCCATAGACTCAGAGACCCATAGACTCAGAGCCTCATAGACTCAGAGCCTCATAGACTCAGAGCCTCATAGACTCAGAGACCCATAGACTCAGAGCCTCATAGACTCAGAGACCCATAGACTCAGAGACCCATAGACTCATAGACCCAGAGCCTCATAGACTCAGAGCCTCATAGACTCAGAGCCTCATAGACTCAGAGCCTCATGGCCAAACGTCCCAATGTCCCAGCAGCCTCCTGGCGAGGAGGCTCGAAGCGCAGTGAGGCCTCCATGCGTCGCTGGTGTCACTCGGTAAAGTCAAAACCCGCACGCGCGTGTGTGTGTGTAGGTGTATGCACACGTGTGTGTGTAGGTGTGTGTACGCGTGTGTGTGTACGTGTGTGTGTGCACACGTGTGTGTAGGTGTACCCATGTGTGTTTGTGGTGTCGGCACGTGTCGGGGCAAGCCTACGTGCTATAAATGTCCACGTGACGACGACGATGATGATAAGCCACTTCGTTGAGCTGTCATTTGTGATGGGTGTCCGCGTGTGGGTACACACGTGTTAGAGATACACGCGTGTAGATGCGTGTGTGTGGGTACACACGTGTTATAGATACACGTGTGTGGGTATACACGTGTTATAAATACACGTGTGTGTGTGGGTACACGCGTGTTATAGATACACGTGTGTGTGTGGGTACACGCGTGTTATAGATACACGTGTGTGTGTGGTAGCACGCGTGTTATAGATACACGTGTGTGTGTGGTAGAACGCGTGTGGGTGCGCACACGCGTGCATTGCAGCCGTGACTCACCGTCGGCCGAACTTCCTTGACTCCCGAATCCTCCGCAGTGCATGCCGGGCACCGGGTGCCAACCCAGGCCGCCCGAGGTGGCCAGCGAGCCCTTGTCAGCCGCGTGGACGAACCACGGCGAGCCGCCACCGCCACCGCCACCGCCACCGCCGACTCCGGGCGTGGACGACGAGGACGAGGGACAGGAGGAGGAGGAGGAGTTGGACGACGAGGACATCGCGACGTCTTGAGGAGGCTGCAGGTGGTGGTCTGACGGGGCTGAGGTCTCCAGCACGGACGACCCGTACACTCTCCTCGTGTGCTGCTGCTGCTGCTGTAGCGTTAGGTGATGTCCCTGCTGCTGCTGCTGCTGCGTGTGATGATGATGATGGAGTTGATGATGATGCTGCTGCTGCTGCAGTTGATGCTGATGTTGGAGAAGCTGCTGCTGATGATGATGCTGGTGATGCTGCTGCTGCTGTAGAAGAACGTCATTCGACTGAACTCGAATTTGCCCCGACGATTGCTGCTCACCTGGCGAGCTCATCCCCATCTCGGCCGAGTGAGGAGGAGCGCCGCCCACACCGCCGGCGGATGACGACGACGATTGCGGCGGGAGAGGAGGAGGTGGAGGAGGAAGGGCAGAAGAAGAAGATGACGATGCCGACAAAGACGACGCTCCGGCGGCGGCGGCGGGAGCAGCGGCAGCAGGAGGAGGAGGAGCGCCGCCGGGAGGGCCTCCGCCCGGCGGTGGCTGCCCCCCCGCCGCCAGCGCCACGGAGGAGATGACGCCGTCGATGGCGCCGGGGTCCGGGCAGAACTCGAGGAGGGGCGAGGCGTCGCTGGGCGGCGACAGGCTCTGGATGCCGCTGTCGAGGGACGCCAGCAGCAGGTCGCTCTGCTTGTCCCCCAACGCCGGCAGGTCCGGGTGGCCCGAGGCCCAACCGCCGGGGGACGAGGTGCAGGCCTCCGGGCCGGGCGCCGCCGCCGACGCGGCCGACGGCGGCGGCGGCGGCGCTGACGACAACGACGACGACGATGCAGACTGCGTGATCTGGGAGGACGTTGAAGCGGACGAATCGCCGCCACCACCGCCCCCGCCACGAGGAGTCGCCGTGTTTCTGAGACCCGGACTGCAATTCTGTGACGCCGGTGTCGATGTGGCTGCTGCTGCTGCTGCCGTTGAAGTTGTGGCTACGGTACCAGCAGCGCCGCCGCCGCCGTGACTGATGATGTTGTTGTTGTTTTTCCTTCGGCCACGACCCCTGCCTCTCCCTCTCCCCGTGGTCACGATCTCGGATCCTCCTCGTCCGGACGACGTCCCAATCCCACCGCTGGCACCACCTCCTCCTCCACCTCCTCCACCGCCACCACCGCCACCACCGCCACCACCGCCACCACCGCCACCACCGCCACCAGCAGCAGCAGCAGCAAGTGCCGCTGGAGCTCGCTCACCGGGCGAGGAGAGAACTCCCCCGCCGGCGTCGCCGTGGTGAGTGGGCGGCGTGTGAGCGTTGCCGGCTTCCTCCTGCTGGTGAGCCGCCGTCGGGGTCGTGGCGGTGCCACCGTGAGCCGGAGACTCGGTCTCCACGGCGCACGACAGCGGCCCAAAGTCTCCGCCGAGGGCCTCCTGCTCTCCTCTGCCTTTCCCATCGCCCGACGGCGTCCCTCCACCGCCGCCGCCGCCGCCGGCCTGCTGCTGCTGCTGCTGCTGCTGCCGCTTGCCGTAGGTGACGTTGAGGCTGGGCGCCCCGAGGCTGGCGATCATGTTCTGGCACGCCGTGGACAGAGCGGCCAGGCAGCTCTGCCCGAAAGACGACGACATTGCACCTCCTGCCGCTCCACCACCTCCACCCGCTCCTCCGCCCGCTGCCGCCGTTCCGCCGCCTCCGTTGCCGCCGCCGGCGATCGCCGCGGCGTCCTTGCCGCCGGCGTCCCCGAGCGCCAGCGCCCCCAGGGCGAGCGTGCCGCCAAACTTGCCGCCGGGGGGCGCGGCGTGCGGCACGGCCCTGCAGCCGTGCGGCGCCATCGCCACACCGGCCTGCGCGCCCGGGTAGCACGCGCCGCCCTGCTGCTGCTGCTGCATATTCCTTAAGTGCGGCGAGCCGCGCAGCATTGCAAACTCAAGCTGCTGCTGGTGCTGTTGCTGCTGCTGGTGGTGGTGATGGTGATGTTGCTGATGTTGTTGTTGATGTTGTTGATGTTGTTGTTGGTGGTGGTGGTGGTGTGCCGCGTACAGGCTGGGACTCATCTTGCTGGGGATGCACATCTCACTGTGCATCATCGCCGACAGCGGCCCCATCTGTGGCATGAACTGCTGCTGCTGCTGATGCTGTTGCATGCGGAGGCTCTCCAGACTCAGCTGACCGCAGCGGCTGCTCTGCATTTGCTGCTCCAGCTGCTGCTGCTGCTGCTGCCCAAAGTGGAGGTTGGACAGGCCTGCCGGTAAGACAGACCCCCCAAGCAGCTGATGCTGCTGCTGCTGCTGAGCATACAGCTGCTGCTGCTGAATGGAGTCGCACACAACCCCACCGATAGCGCCTCCGCCGTTGCTGCCACCACCGCCGTTGTTACCCACGCCGGCGCCTCCGTGCACTCCGGCTTTGGCCGATTCGGCCAAGAGCAGCTTCCCCTTGCGGGGCAGCATGTCACTGGGCAGGGGCCACGGCCGGCCCTGGAAGCCGTGCTGGGTCAGCCCGTTGTTGTTGTTGACGTTGTTGTTGTTGATGTTGTTGTTGTGCTGCGCCTGCTGCTCCGGAAGCGACGACGCCGCCGCCGGTGGCTGAGGAGGTGCAGGAGGTGCAGCAGGCGGAGGAGGGGTGAGCGTCGGGTAGACGGCGCCGCAGTGAGCGCCGGCCGTGCCGCTCGCCAGCTTCTGCTTGCGGAAACCGAAACCCAGCCCAGCAGCAGCAGCCGCAGCCACCTGCTGCTGCTGCTGGTGCTGAGAGTGTGGATGTTGAGGATGCTGCTGCTGATGGTGAGGGTGATGGTGGGCCGACGGACTTAACCGCGCCGGGAACGCGGAGTGAGAAAGGGGCGGCACAGCCTCGCCGTACGCCGAAGGCTGCTGCTGCTGCTGATGGTGTTGGTGGTGGTGAGGGTGAGGGTGGTGGGGAGGGTGGTGGTGAGCCGGGTGGTGAGCCGGGTGGTGAGGTGGCGGCGCCACCCCCGAGGCGAGCCACGGGCCCTGCTCCCCGACAACGCCGTGCGGGTAGAACTCCGAGCGTGCCCTTTTGGCCGCATGTCCAAAATGCTGCTGCTGCTGCTGCTGCAAGTGCATGTGTTGCTGCTGCTGCTGCTGTTGACTCTGCTGCTGCTGCTGCGGGTATTCGGCGAGGTGCGTGTGTAACGCGTCCACCCCTCCCCTGGGCGGGTGGTACAGGCCCCCCACGCCGCCCCGCATCCTCAGCGCGCTGTGAGGAGCAGGCGGCCCCCCCCGCTCGTACTGCACCAGCTGCTGGTGCAGCAGCGGCGCCCGGCTGGGAGCTCCGAAGAGATACGAGGACGAATCCTGCTGCTGCTGCTGCTGCTGCTGCGTGTTTTGGTGAAGTGCATTCAACTGCTGCTGCTGCTGCTGATGATGATGTTCGTAGGCGGTCACATCAGTCCAAGCGGCCGCGGGAATCATCTCCCTACCGCCACCGCCGGCGCCACCGCCTCCTCCTCCTCCTGCCACCGACGACGTGGAGCTCACCGGAGCGTTGGCCGCAGCGGCGGCGGCGGCGGCAGCAGCAGCCGCAGCAGCAGCAGCCGCTGCCTTGCCCTTCCGGGGCCTGCCCCTGCCCTGGGTGGGAGGCGCGGGGGCAGCCGGGGCCGCGGGGAAATGCCCTTGGCCATCGTTCATGTCAAAGGCGGGAGGTGGCGGTTGCTGCTGCTGCTGCTGTTGCTGCTGCTGTTGCTGCTGCTGCTGTTGCTGCTGCTGCTGTTGTTGCTGCTGCTGCTGCTGCAGCTGCAGCTCTGCAGGACCCACGGTGGCACCGGGACCAGGGCCCTGAGCCTGGTTCGCGGCCGGGCCCGGGGTCGAACCGGGCCCCGGGAAGGCCGGCGCGACGGAGATGGAGCCAAACTCGTCGTAGACGGAGGATTCGTGGGGGAACGCCGCGCCATAGCCGCCCGGCTGCGCCCCGCCCCTGGAGAACAGCAGGCCCTGCTGCTGCTGCTGTTGCTGCTGCTGTTGCTGCTGCTGTTGCTCAGTAAGACCCCCTTCAAAAGCGTTCATTATGGGTTCATAATGGTCACCGATAGCCGACATGTACCCCGAAAACAGCGGCCCCTGCTGCTGCTGCGGCTGCTGCGGTTGCGGCTGGATCCCAAAATATTCAGCGTTGACGCAGGAAGTGGCGGGCATGGAGGCGAACTCGTAGCCACCGGGGTTGGGGGCGGCCAGGGGGCTCGGGTACGAATCTGCCGGCAGCCGCCCCTCGCCCATCGCCCACACGTGCTGCTGCTGCTGTTGTTGTTGCTGCTGCTGTTGTTGTTGTTGTTGATGCTGCTGCTGCTGTTGTTGTTGGATGCCGATGTACTCGGTGCCATGTGGCTGGCCATGGTGAACCCAAGCCTCGTGAGGGCTGGGGCCCAACGTCCACGAATCGGCGACGCTCATTTTGTAAACTCCCCCTGGGCGCCGGCGCTGCCACTCGCAGGCGACTCTCAAAGCGGACGCAGGCCCCGCAGGGCCCGGACGACGAGGAGGATGGCGCTGCTGCTACTGCTGCTGCTGTTGTTGATGCTGCTGCTGCTACTGCTGCTGCTGCCGCAGGCCCTGGCCACCATGCTGAGGCTACGGGCGCGCACACACACACGTACACACACACATACATAGACACACATACACACACACATACATAGACACGTACACACACACATACATACACACACATACATACTCACACACACATACACACACACACATACTCACACACACATACACACATACACACATACATACATACACACACACATATACATACACACATACACACATACACACATACATACACACATACACACATACATACATACACACACACATACATACAACAACAACAACCGCCATTCGCCACTAAGTGGTGGTGACGTCACCACGACGCTTGTGCCAGGCCATGTGCACCTTGAGGCCACGTGAAGTGTCGAACGCCCGCTGGCAGGAGGTCACGGAGCAGACCCAGGTGCCACGGGTCGACTGACCGAGATGACCGAGATGACTGGCTGATGCACCACCTGTGCCCCCTACTGTACCAACTTGCTGTGCTTTAGCAACCCGGCGCTCCGCTCGTTGTTGTGAGCGTCGCTCCTCCGCCCTCCGTTGTTGTTGGAGGGCGACTGCCTCCAACTGCCCAGTAGCGTCCTTCACGAGCCTCCTCCACTGAGGCCGATCTTGACACCGCTGGTACCAGTCATCGGCAAGTCCACTCAGCTCCACGTCCTCCTGTACCACATCACTCCATCTCTTCTCTAGCCCGTGCCGCGCCCGTCTAGCCCCCTCGATCCGGCCGAACAAAAGCTGTTTAGGCATGCGGTGGCTGGGCATGCGGGCTACATGACCCAGCCAACGCAGCCTTGCCTGCCGGAGGAGCTCACTGATGGGACTTTTCCCAGATCTTTCAAGGATTTGTGAGCTCCTCACACAATCCAGCCTGGTTAAACCCAGGATGGATCGTAGGCAGGCCAGCCTAAATGTTTCCAACCGGCGAAGATGCTCCACCAGGGGGGTCCACGTCTCGCAAGCGTAGAGAAGGGAGGGAATGACCGTGGCCGAGAAGACCTGAAGCTTCGTGCGGAGCGACAGACCAGGTAGCTTCCACACAGCGTTACGCAACCGATGAAAAGATATTGCCGCTCGACTGATTCGGAGTGAGACCTCTGCTGTTAAACTGGAGCCGGTCATAAGCACACTGCCCAGGTATGGGAAACTCTCCACTCTCTCCACTACTTCCCCATCACCGATTGGGAGTTGTGGGGGTGGAGTGGCCGATGGTACAAAATACCCAAGCAGGTGCTTAGTTTTGGTGGGGCTGATGGTAAGGCCCCACCTCTTAGTGGCACGCTCCAGTCTCAGCAGCAGCGTCTCCAACTCCTCTTCTGAATGAGCAGCTATTACCAAATCATCGGCATACATAACGTGGTTGACCAATAGGGAGCCATCCCTTGATCGCACCCGGGCGTCGATCAGCCTCCCATTATATCTGTACCAAATGGAAATTCCCCCGGTACAGCTATCAAAGGCTTCACGAACTATGCAGTCAAAATAGATGTTAAATAAAGTGGTAGCCAGAGGACATCCCTGTCGCACCCCAAGGTGTACAGGGAAAGGCTCTGACTCCCGGCCACGTAGTTTTACCCGGGCCCGCTCACCATCATGAAGGTCCTTAATGATCGTGAGCAGAGGGTCAGGGACTCCGAAAGCACGAAGAACCCAGAGCCCAGGCCTACTGATGGTATCATAGGCTTTGACCAGGTCAATAAAGCAGAGATGTAGGTCTTGTAGGAATTCCCTATACCTCTGCTGTAGCAGACGGACAGAAAATATGGCATCTGTGCAGGACCGCCCTTTCCTGAAACCGCATTGGGGCTCCGCAAGCCTCTCCTCAGCGTGCCTAGCAAGGCGATGTTGAATAATCCTTGCCAGGACCTTTCCCGGCACACTGAGGAGTGAGATGTCCCTGTAGTTGTTACAGTCTGTGCGGTCCCCCTTCTTAAAGAGGGGGACCACCAGGGCATCCTTCCAATCCTGCGGAACCCGTCCAGTGGTCCAGACTGTTGTTATGATGTCATATAGGGCAGTCTGTGCACAAACGCCACCCTCCCTCAGCATTTTGCTTGGGAGATCATCTCTGCCCAGTGCCTTTTCTGGTCTCAGACTCACACACACATACACACATACACACACACGCATACACACACATGCACACACACGCACACACACGCACACACACACGCACACACACACGCACACACACACGCACACACACACACACACATACACACACACATACACACACACACATACACACACACACATACACACATACGCACACACATACGCACATACACACACACACATACACACAATACACACACACACATACACACAATACACATACACACACATACACACACACACATACACACACACACATACACACACACGCACATACACACATACATACACACATACACACACACAGATACACACACGCACATACACACACGCACATACACACACACATACACACACATACACACACACATACACACACATACACACACACAATACACACGCACATACACACACATACACACACACATACACATACACACACACATACACACACACAGATACACACACACATACACACACGCACATACACACATACATACACACATACACACACACATACACACACACAGATACACACACATACACACACACAATACACACACACATACACACATACACACACACATACACACATACACACACACAGATACACACACGCACACACATACACACACACACAGATACATACACATACACACACACATACACACACACACACACAGACACACACACATACACACACACACATACACACACACACAGACATACACACACACATACACACACATACACACACACAGACACATACACACAGATACACACAACAACAACAACAACAACCGCCATTCGCCACTAAGTGGCGGTGACGTCACCACGATGCTTGTGCCAGGCCAAGTGCACCTTGAGGCCACGTGAAGTGTCGAAAGCCCGCTGGCAGGAGGTCACGGGGCAGACCCAGGTGCCACTGGTCGACTGACCGAGATGACCGAGATGACTGGCTGATGCACCACCTGTGCCCCCTACTGTGCCAACTTGCTGTGCTTTAGCCACCCGGCGCTCCGCTCGTTGTTGTGAGCGTCGCTCCTCCGCCCTCCGTTGTTGTTGGAGGGCGACTGCCTCCAACTGCCCAGTAGCGTCCTTCACGAGCCTCCTCCACTGAGGCCGATCTTGACACCGCTGGTACCAGTCATCGGCAAGTCCACTCAGCTCCACGTCCTCCTGTACCACATCACTCCATCTCTTCTCCAGCCCGTGCCGCGCCCGTCTAGCCCCCTCGATCCGGCCGAACAAAAGCTGTTTAGGCATGCGGTGGCTGGGCATGCGGGCTACATGACCCAGCCAACGCAGCCTTGCCTGCCGGAGGAGCTCACTGATGGGACTTTGCCCAGATCTTTCAAGGATTTGTGAGCTCCTCACACAATCCAGCCTGGTTAAACCCAGGATGGATCGTAGGCAGGCCAGCCTAAATGTTTCCAACCGGCGAAGATGCTCCACCAGGGGGGTCCACGTCTCGCAAGCGTAGAGAAGGGAGGGAATGACCGTGGCCGAGAAGACCTGAAGCTTCGTGCGGAGCGACAGACCAGGTAGCTTCCACACAGCGTTACGCAACCGATGAAAAGATATTGCCGCTCGACTGATTCGGAGTGAGACCTCTGCTGATAGACTGGAGCCGGTCATAAGCATACTGCCCAGGTATGGGAAACTCTCCACTCTCTCCACAACTGCCCCATCACCAATTGGGAGTTGTGGGGGTGGAGTGTCCGATGGTACAAAATACCCAGGCAGGTGCTTGGTTTTGGTGGGGCTGATGGTAAGGCCCCACCTCTTAGTGGCACGCTCCAGTCTCAGCAACAGCGCCTCCAACTCCTCTTCTGAATGAGCAGCTATTACCAAATCATCGGCATACATAACGTGGTTGACCAATAGGGAGCCATCCCTTGATCGCACCCGGGCGTCGATCAGCCTCCCATTATATCTGTACCAAACGGAAATTCCCCCGGTACAGCTATTGAAGGCTTCACGAACTACGCGGTCAAAATAGATGTTAAATAATGTGGGAGCCAGAGGACATCCCTGTCGCACCCCAAGGTCCGGCAAAACAACCTCCTACCTCCTCGCGGTGCCGGACGGGCAACACTGTCGTGGACATTGCTGTGGGGGGAGGGCCAATGCCCATTGGCCTCTCCCCTCATGGCGTCTGTGACCACCACAGTGGCTAAACGGGGGCTCTGGACGGGTGTGAGGGGCTGGTAACCCCTCCACCTTCAATTCATTACCACTAAACCACGAATTAAACATAAACCTGTAACAAATAAGCTTGTGCCGGAGGCCCCGGGGGGTCAGGCTTTTATGACGTCTCCTGGCCAAACCCCATTTGGCGGAGCCAGGAGATTGAATTTTCACCCTCGGGGCTCCTCCAGAAACAACAAAAAACCATTGCGGATGGCCACGTGGAATGTTCGAACGCTCACTGCGGAGGAGAGGCTGCCACTCCTCTGTCGGGAGCTGGACCGGTACCGCCTGGATCTCTGTGGCATTCAGGAGGTCCGGTGGACCGGTTCTGGCTCCTGCCACCATGAGGGGTGGACAGTCCTCTACTCGGGGCAGGAGACTGCCAAACAACAGGGTGTGGCTCTTCTTCTGAACAAAAGAATGAAGGGGGCGTGGGAGCGTGGCGGTGAGGTGTGGGAAGCTGTAAGCCCCAGGATACTTTGGGCTCGCCTTCCCATCAACCAGAGGCGAGGAGTGGTGGTCGTGGTTAC